ATATACATATATATTATTCATACCTTCGGTGTGTAGGGCGCAAGCTAGATTTTGACATCAAATTTGGGGTAAAAAGTGCGTCTTATACCCCGAAAATACGGTATATATAAATATAGTTGTTAGTGTAATGACTTTCAAATCATTAAATAATGAAATAACCATTATATTCTTACAGTGCTTAAACTACAGTTGGTATCTTTCAAATGACTTTCAGTTCCATATTCTGTCGTTGTTGATTCTTCTACCTTTGTTAAAGTAAGTATATTGATATTTATATTATTATTATAATAAGTATGTATTTAGAACTATACATGTACTGTATTCTACGTTAATATACTTTCCTTTAATTTGCGAGCTTTCGGCCCTCTTAACGGAGCCTTCATTGAGCAGCAGTGTTCGTTTATCTTGTTTATTACTATTTGTTTAACATTTTAACTTGTAGTTTTGTTCAGGTGCAGCAAACACATTGCATCCTGAGATACACAAGCAACATAAGAGTCAATATATCGTTTTATCTATTATAAAATGCGCTGAACGTTATGTTTTTCATATCTTTTGTTGCTTGAAGTTAAGCACATAGCTACACATATCTTTCCTTTGTTGTTGTCGTCTTCCATTTATAATCCACAGTGTTTAAAATCATTTCTAATATAATAAGTCATTGTTAAGATTGTTGCCTAGACACCGGTTTTAAAGCAGTGTTCCACGTTTTGTTTTCTTCTCGGGAGACCAAGTTCGTTTTTCGAATTAAACGCTTCTTACAAACTGCCCGTGCAAGACGCCAGCCAAAGATACGAAAGTACGTGGCAAGAAATAAAAATTAAAACTGAGATGCAAATATGCAAGAATAGCAAAATTATATTTACATTACTCTTTGAAATGTCTTTTTCTCGTTATTAAGTAACGCATTTTAGTTCCACTGTTATTAAAAGTATTTGGATTTTCTACCATTGTTAAGGTCAACATATTAGTCCTAAAAAAAATCACAGTTTTAGGCATTGTGATTTCTTCTATATTTGTTCAAGGAAATATTGTGCTTTTAACACCTAGTAAGTCAGACGTATATTAGTCTGTTATTGTTAAAGTAAATATAACGATATTTATTGGTGAATTTTTCCTTTCGTCACGAAAACACTAAAATTACACGTTTTGTTAAAAAAAGAAAAAATGAAAGAAATTATCAGCTAGTTCGCTGACAAATAAAGAATAATTAAATTTGACTGTATCGTCACATGCAATTCAAAACCCAAGATATTTTAGTATATATGCAGTAAGTAAATGATTATATGAAATTCCAAAAATATATATATTACTACTGGATGGTTTGTAAGGCTAGTGTTCAATATGTATAAATTAATTATATGATCCTTTTGTTTTTAAACTAGCAGTGTTAGTAAAATTATAATTTGTATTGTTTTCGTCATGTTCTTAATGTAATTGCTGTTTTACTTTCCTCGGGTTTATTCTCTAAGTATATGTTATTCCAATTATTTCCTTATATATGATCTTATTATTGCATCATTCGATAATTGGAATGTATTTGACATTTACTCTCACGAGGTCCGTCGTTAGAGGTTTTATTGTTACTGCAATGCTTGCTCTCGTTTCCATGGTAATAACTGGTGTGATAACTTACCTTTACAACTATCCCGCTACGAGACTGTATGGGTTTCTTAATGGCAAGTAAGTAAACATATCCATTTCTTTGTTTTTGAGTTAGCATTTAATAAGCTGAGCTAAACGAATTTATTTTTCATAACGTTGCAGTATATAGATGTATGTGTATTTATAAATTTATTTAAGTTAAAATACATTTGTTCATAATATGATTTCCTGTTTTTGTTTGTGTGTGTGTGTGTAAGAGAGGAAGTAAAATTTTTGAAAAAATGCTACATAAAAATACGGTATCGACTAAAAGCGTACAGTATTTGTCTAGTAGCACGAATGTTTAATGGTATCCAGTGTCCATTTCGTGTTCTACTAAAGGTGCCATTTTTCAGTTTTTTTAATTTTTTTCTCAGAAACACGTTGAGCATTGCCCATTTTAAAAACAGAAAAGCAACAAATTCTCTTCCTTACATAACTTTTAATCCATATCTTATTTCAAAGTGACGCCTGGGAATTCTGCACGAGGGTCTACTTCCGGCCTTACGCCCACCTGGGGGCCTATTGTGTGGGTGTCACAATGGGGTACATTATCGCTAAGAAACAAAAACTTAGACTGTCAGCCGTAAGTTTAATAATCTTGTGTTAGAATAAGTTTGTATTTGTACTGTTATTTACCTGATCTGAGATGCTTAATTTACTTTCTTCGTGTTGGCAATTGAAAAAAGACATTACATGTATAATTAACAAAATGGATGCAAATTTAGTGATTAAATAAGAAATGTATTAACTTTTCCAACTGCAGAACGTTTTCAAAAGAATTAAACGAAATAACGAAACTTTTAAAAATGGTTTCATGATATACGTCTAACACCAAAATGTCACTAAAACTACCAATCAACTAGGTTAAATATGCAGAAATACCTTATATTGAACAAGAGGATTTTTATTTATTTGTCGCTCTACTTTTGTGTTGAAATTTTAAAAGCTATAGTGTTAATAAATCATAGGTACTCGTTATTTCAAGTGATGATTTAAAATTACCTCATGCTATGTGCATTCTGGAGTATTGTTAAACCAACAATTACCATTTAGATGCTAAAATACACACCATGGTTACGTCTAAAAACATCCTAAACAACGTGGATCAAATGACACCACGATGCCTATGAAGCTTTGATTTCACAATGTTGGTATTTAGAAGATACATTAATTTGTGAGTTCAACTTCAAAAGAGCCCCAAAGATTACTGTTTAACCATATGTTTTTATCTTTACACTTTAGTAATAACCTCTAAGGAATGACTTAATTTTATAATCACTAAAAGGTGGTGTTAATTAAAATATAATATTTTATAAAATTTTGGAAGCAAAGCAAGATACTACGTATTCAGAAAGTTTCTTTCATAAATTCAAAATATCGTTCAGTTATGTGAATCTATTAAATGCTTATAATCCCACAGGCCTGAGAATTTAAACTTCATAAAAGTTGTTTTGGTTTTAAGGATTTTTTATAAATCTGGAAGATAAAAAATACTTTTACTTAGACCAAATTATTATTTCGTTTACCATAATGAACATATTCTATTATTACGTTTGTTAACAAAAATACAAACAAACTGAAGGAAAGAGAAGAACATTGATGTCAAACGAATATGCACCCTCATTCGTCCAGATTTTTTTGTGAAACCTACGTCTTTTAGTCTCAGAACTGCGTGTTGTGGTCTTTCTTTTATGTATTGCATTAAGACATTTTTGAAATATCTGTACGTGATAGAGAAAAATGGATATCATTTTCGGATTCAACGTACAGAAATTCCTGTAGAACATGTAACAATTTCAAGACGATAAAACCATCGCAGGCCTGTGTTATTTGTCTTTTTATGTTAATAAAATCAAATCCTAAGTTCAAACGTTTTCAAATATTGACGAGAAAAGGAGCTGATTTTAAAATTGTGCGAAATTTTGGGCTGTATATAAATGTTCTCCTAGACATCTGATGTCCAGAAAATATTTTTATTGTTTTATAGTGTTTATATTTCGATATTTTAGCTTGCTTCTTGTCGATAAACACATGATTTAAACAAGACCTAATATTTAAGTCATTACAAATTATCGTTTTGTTGCTGTTGTTGGTAAATTGAGTTTAACTTTTTTTCCACTTGTCCATGGTGCTATATTACTTTTTCTGGATATTTCAAGTTACCAATCTCTTTGTAACTATATATAGTGTTGTATTATAGTTTTCTGAAATTTAAAATTTCAAGTAGATTATCTCTTTGTTGTCATCCATGGTACTTTTCTGGATTTGAATAACATATGCAAAGTGTTTTTTTTCGGCCCACTCGTCTGAGTTAGACTGACTTTGGAAAGTACCATTATTCATCAGTTTACGTAATTTGTATAACAAGTGTTAGCTGTTCTAATGATTAGTCATATTGCAACATTTAAGCCGTAACTTTTAAAATGAAAGACATTGACAAATTCGTCTTTGAAACGTAAGACTCAGCTGTATAACTATTGTAAAATATGAAATTGATTAAGAAATAATTTCGTAAAGAATGTGGATAGAATCATTTTTAAATTTGTTCTCAGACAATGATTAATTTTATGAATTATATGAGAAATATTTTTAGATAAAGATGTAAATACATCCACTATTACTTAATTGTATGGAAAGTCTTCATGGAAGGGTGAATAATATTGGTTCGCATATCTGATAGTTTTCTCGTTCATTTTCCCGTCTTGTCTAAGCTTCAGCAGGCAATAGGTTGGATGCTATCGGCAACAGGACTATTGCTGGTGTTGTACGGAACATATAATTGGAACAGAGGCGTTGAAACTGATCAAACCTCTGTGATTTTGTACGCTGCAACTCATAGAACTGTATGGGCTCTAGCCATAGCATGGCTGACAATGACCTGTATTTATGGATATGGAGGTAAGAGAATGGGCCTTTAATAAAATAGTGTTAGGACACGCGTACAAATAATTTAGCTATTTTATTTTAAGATTTCGTTAAAACACATGAAATAAATACCGTCCATGTTCATTTTAATTTAGCTATTCTATTTTAAGATTTCGTTAAAACACATGAAATAAATATCGTCCATGTTCATTTTAATTTAGCTATTTTATTTTAAGATTTCGTTAAAACACAAGAAATAAATACCGTCCATGTTCATTTTAATTTAGCTATTTTATTTTAAGATTTCGTTAAAACACAAGAAATAAATACCGTCCATGTTCATTTTAATTTAGCTATTTTATTTTAAGATTTCGTTAAAACACAAGAAATAAATACCGTCCATGTTCATTTTTTAAATAAACACAGTAAAACATAATAACATCAATAAAGGTACGACCGTAAAAGAGTTATACTGATACAAGATAAGACAGATTTATTTTACGGTTTAACATACTGTTGTAAGCTATATTTGAAATTAGAAGTTTGCATCGTTGTTTGTCCAAAGGTAGGTTTGATGGTGAGAGCGTGGTATAATATCTGAAATTTCCTCCACAATCTTATAACAAGTTGAGCATTACAAAACTCGAATTAGGCTAGAGTAAATGATTATTGAGTTTGTCAGTCAGATTTAGTTAGCTAGTTAGTGAAGTGAGTGAGTTATTGAGAGATTTCAAGCTCATTGCTAAATATACTGCCTTCTGCTCCTCTGTCCATCCATTCATCTCTGCCAGGAGATCAAATTGTGCTCTATATGCTTCCCACAGTGCCTTCCCATCGAATTCCTGTGGCTTCCTTTGTACAAGATCACCCATATTGCTGACATTCGTATATGGGATGCGACTTCTAACAGGACTGAAAATGTCTGCATTAGTGGTTTAGCTGCGGGGTCTGGAAGGGGCTTGCCTTTGTCTGGGGCTGATTAGGTCCATGGCCAATATATCCTCCTTGTGTGAAAGACAATAAATCATCTTTTAATGTATTTAATTCGCTTTGAAATTTACTAATGTTTTCCATTTGTGTACTCTGGCTTTCTCTCAATTGTTGGAGACTTTCTTCTTGTTTATTTTATTTCTCCTCCATCCACTGCTGTAATCTCTCTTGTTTATTTTGTTGTTTGAGTTGCCACTGTTGCAGATTTCCTTGCCACTGCTGTAATTTCTCTTCTTGTTTCTTTTCTTTTTCCTCCAACAACTTTTGTAATCTCTCTTCTTGCTTCTTTTCTTTTTCCTCCAACAATTGTTGTGATCTCTGTTCTTGTTTATTTTCTGGTTCTTCTTGTTTCTTTTCTTTTACCTCCAACAACTGTTGTAATCTCTCTACTTGTTTATTTTCTCTTTCTTCTTGTTTCTTTCTTTTTCCTCCAACAACTGCTGTAATCTCTGTTCTTGTTTATTTTCTCTTTCTTCTTGTTTCTTTCTTTTTCCTCCAACAACTGCTGTAATCTCTGTTCTTGTTTATTTTCTTTCTCCTCCATCCACTGCTGTACTCTCTCTTGTTTATTTTGCTGTTAGAGTTACCACTGTTGTAGGGTTTCTTGCCACTGCTGTACTTTTTCTTCTTGTTTCTTTTACTGTTCTTAGTATTGCTGCCATCAAATCTGCTAAGCTGTAGTTTGATTTGCCACTTCTCGTTCTATTTTTTTTCTTTTCAATCCCACTTCTGACACCAATTTGTTACGTCTCTTTATGTTCGTTTGTTAATTTTCTTTACTACCTCGCTTGACTTAATTGTCCGTCTCTATTTCCGCTGTCAGCAACTATAGTTCCGATCTCTGTATCCGCTATCCTCGCTTCCCACCGACCGTAACTGCTGTCCTTGGTTCCCCACTCTCTACTCTCTCCTTTGTCTAGAGCACTCATATACGATAATAGCGCCCGCATAGTCTCTTCGAGAATCTTCTAGACACTCATTGCGTGTTACCAACGTCACGTGACTTCCACTGTCATAACAGTATGTACTGAAGCATGCCATTCTCGTTAAAATATTAAACATGAAAACTGCTGAATTAAAAAAAGTTTTATATAGCTATTGTTACTCTAGTCACACGTACTGTGACTAGTTTTTATAATCTCTTATCATTTTCGGTGTACAAAAGCAACAATGAAACCATTCAGAATTAAAATTAGTTGACTTGAGGTGAATTACAAATGATTCTGTTCTGTATATTCTACTTAATATTTTCTGAGGATCAATGTTAATGTTTTATTTGAACAATAATAATTAGGTCATGTTAACAGTGAAATACTATAATAACATTGTCTAATATCTATAGAATATCTCATTAAGTAGGAATATTTGGTCCGTTAGAAAGTAATAAGTATCATGCTTCAGCTACATTTTCATGATAGAAACGAAATTGGTGTTCAACATATTTTGGGGGCATATTGATTTAGCGTGACAGCCTGACAAAATGACTTTAGAGCCATTAAGTAACTTCTCACTAGTCTTTACCTATATTACTAAAGCCATGTCTTACGGATGTTTCATTTGTTTTGGGGCATACTTATTTAATTGAGACAGCTTTACGAAACGATTTTAGGACTTTAGGTAACTTCTTATGATAGTATCGCTAAAGTCTTGTAAATTTTGTACTATTGGGGATTATGCATGCAACTTACAAATGTTACACTTATATTTGATAAGATACGTAATGAAAAGTAGAGTTTTTTGTTGTTGTTGTAACAGTTAAGTACTAAGTATTTTCATAACTCCTGCTAAAATACAGCGGAAACATTAAATCTCAAGTAAATATTTCTCTGTTTAACCTTAGGGTAGTCTTTAAAATCCAGATCCGGAGCCGAAATATTACCCCTAAAACGGAAAATGACCATAATTATGCGAACTTGCATAGTTCCCGCTACTTTAGTATAACTGATTAATAAAAATACATATAAAAGACATTAAATATTTGGAACTAATCAGAAATGAAACACTGCCTGAAAAGTAGAATTAAACCACTAAAACAATATTTTCAATAAAATTCTAGCTGCACAAACAACAATATTGTATTTAAATATGTCTCTATAATTACTCCTTGATCAGCTTCATTAATGAATTTAAAGTTATCCCAGTGAATCAAGTGGCCAGTGGCAACAGTATGCTCTGCTATAACTGGTAAATTATTTATTTTCGCCAAAGTGCACATCTGTGTTGTTTTAAATGTTGTTTCAAGAGCTTACTAGTCTCTCCAATTGTCTATGCAGATTATCTATCAAATGGTACACACCATGAACTAAAAGTTTGGTGACGGCTTAAATGGATAATGAATAAAACTTTATTATAAATGCACAACGTATCAACAGGATTATGTCATGATGACATAGCCTTGTCGAAGCGTTGTACATTTATAATAGTTTTCTTCATTACCCATTCAAGCCGTCACCAAACTTTTATTTTCTAAAAAGTGGGTTCCTCATCATCAAATGTAAACACTATTGTTACATATTGAGAATTTGAAATAATCCAAAGCCGCGTTAAGTAATTTAACTTTTAATAGATGAACTGCACCCTGGATTTAGTGTTTAGAAATATGCCGATGTTTTATTTAATTCACGCTATTTTCCAATAAGATTGATTCACACTGATTTTGTTTTTGACACAAATATGTTTTAATATATATATATATATACAACACTATAATTTACAATGGCAACTATTATGATTATTCATTACAAACCAAGTTTCATAAACAGAAATTTCACTAACTTACAAATAGCCTAAAATCGTCTTCCTAGCTAAGAGTCTCCTTGATATCCAGCGAGTAAACTTAAAGTTGATGTACGTACTATTGTCGAGCAACTAGCTAGCTTTGTCAGGCACTGAATTGTTGAACCGTTGAAGTAAGATAATATTTCTATAAAACCACTGATGTCTGATGAG